AGAAGATTCCTTCATCGGCCTTTTTCATGGATCTGATGGTCAACTCTCCGGTGGTCGTATCCAGATCTGTTCGGCCTTTAAACTCTCTAAAATAATTCAGAGGAACAGTGTCTTTATTCCACTCAGCTACGATGTCTCTGTTAAATTTCCAGGTGATTTCGGTGATTCCTTCTCCAGGGACAGACTCGGGTTTGAGAGAAAGCTTACCGCCGATTTCGAAGTATTTATCCTCGGATAAAACAGCTTCCAGTCCCGCTGCCAGCAACAAAAACACGACCGGTATCTTCATGTCCACAGATTAAAATTTAATCTACAGAATCCAGATTTAAATATCAGCAGATCCCAGTGAGTTTTCTTGCGGAGACCCTCACCACACCCAAACGCAGTACAGAAATGGCAAACTCGTGTCATTTCCGGTTTGGCGTGTTTCTGAACAGCGCCCCTCTTCGACCAGGAGGCTGCAGGACAGGAAGCCGCCAACAGTAAATATATCAGCAGCCACTTTTGTCATCTAAAATCAGCAAGATTTACACAAATGAACATAAAAGCGTTTATGTAATTTTTATCTGAGCGTTTAAATATTGATATAAATTATACATATTTATTCGTAAATATTTACAGAAACATAAGCACTTAATTTTGTGTGCTAATTTATACCACTCATTAATTAATTAAATAATAAGTTAATACTAATTTCTTCTATTTGTGCAGTTAACATTAAAATACTTGTTAAAATCGATATTTCAATTGTTGAGTCATTGTGAGGGTCTTCAGCTCCTTTAGTCACCAAGAATTCATCATTTTGTGCACTTTTATCAGTTTTTGCTAATTGTAAAAGTAAACAGAGCCAGAATTTTATCAACCAACTCTAAAGAAAAACAAAACACAGAATTACAAAAAAATTGAACACAAAACAAGACTCTTGAAATTTACCATGAAGACTAGAGCTTGCTTTGATTTGACAAACTTCACAGATTTTTTGTAAAGATTTGAAATTGTGATTAGATTTTTTTTCTGTGTGTGTTTCATTTGTAGATACATTTTCTGGCCAACATGAATAAATAATCATGGAGTTACTGAAATCTAATTACTGAAACTTAGTTTCAGTCTCGTTCTGGGCGGCTGTGGCAGAGTGGTTAGGGGAGTCGTCCTGGAACTGTAAGGTTACTGGTTTGATCCCCCATCCAGCTGTCTCAGTTGTTGTGTCCTTGGGCAAGATACTTCACCCCAATGCCTCTGATGTGTGTCCCATCAGTGTTTGAATGTGATTGGCACTGATCGGTCTCCACAGATGATTGTACATGTTAGCTTTGTAGTGAGATCTGGTAGAGTGCTGTGTGAATGGATAAATGAGGACACAGGTAGTGTGAAGAGCTTTGAGTGTCCTGGTTGGGTAGAAAGGTGCTATCCAAGTACAGTCCATTTACCATTTCTGAAATACACTGCTGCCAAAATAAAAAATAAAAGAAATAATCACACTCTGATATTTGTTGGACCATCTTCAGCTTTTATTACGTCACACATTCTGGCATAATTTCCATGAGCCTCTGCAATGTCATAATGTTCTGTCCAGCTGCATTAATGTTTCACCAAGACTTAATGTTGATGAGGTCTTCTCCTAAATTCTCTCCGAGCTGTGTTGCTGAGTCAGTGTGAGCTTCTGGCACTCATTCAGTTTCAGTAATGTAGAATGTTAAAGATATGTTGTGACTTACCTCTTGTTAAATTTTTAGACAGTTACAACAGGATTGTCTGAGGAAGACACTGGTTTTTACCCCATTCTCTTCTCGTGACAAGGATTCTCATACCTACTTTGATTTCTAGGTTTAACTAAGGAAGAATATTACTGATTGGATTATTCGGGGAAACGGTTATGTTTTCAATTCCGTATGATTTGGCCCCTGTTTACTGTCCACCCAAACACATTTCTTTGATAAATGCCATATTCCCAACAGCTCTAGTGTCTTAGAGGCAGGGTTATTTCCCTTGCTTCCTTTAAGTTTTATCCAGTATGTTTCTATCAGGAGCACATGTAAGGGCATGGTCTTGATTGCTCCTGTACACCTGTGTTCTGGACTGTAATCTATTAACTTTCTGAAGCAATACATCCGTAATCTATTGCTGCTCTCATGAGTGCTCTGTAAATGTTTAAAAGTGATTGCCTTTCAGCTTCCTAATGTTTCAAGCCACAGCTTTCATGAGGTTAAGTACTTCCTTGCACTTTGTTTCTATCTGTTTCATATGTACTTGTATTTCCCATGAGGGAACCACACTCCTAAAAAGTTAAATTCAGATATCCTTTGTAAAGGCTGTTCAACTGTAAATTTCCAATATTTTACTTTCTTTTATTTGTAAGCACCATGTAGCAGGATTTGCTTATTGATAATTTGAACCCCCATTCATATGACCATTTCTCATTTGTATTAATTGCATTCCTTGTATTTTTTTACAACATGTGAAGCATTTCCTCATTTCATATATATGGCCCTGTCATCTGCATAAAGAGCTGATTTTATACAATCTAGATTTGAGAAGATGTTGTTTATAACATTGTTAAATAAAACGACTGGGACTGACAGCATTCGAAGCAGGTGACTGATTGCTCTTCCTCGAGGAGTGCTCGTTTCTACTTTGAAATCTCTTGAATAATCCTCCCTAACCTAAATTCTTGTTTTCCTGTCTTTGAAGAAACTTGCAATCCAATTATACAACCTGCACCAATTCCCATTTGGTCCAACTTTATAACCCTTTTCTCCACACTGAACCATAGGCTTTTTCATAGGCTCAATCGTCCATCATTTCTCCTTTTATATTGCCATTATTAGTCTGCCTGCTTACCCCAGAGACTGTTGTTTGCATTAAAATCTCCACACTTCTCTTCTGAATGCATCTCCTGAAATCTCCTTAAATATCTCCATTTCTAGATTTTTGCGTGGATTATAAACATTCATTATTTTGATGTTTCCAAATATTTTAAGTTAAATATTTCTATACTAACACATTCATATTCATTAACATTATAATTTTCTTTATATGCTAATAATCTATCTTTGATAACTGTTGCACATCCTCGGCTCCGCTACCATTACTTTTATCTTTTCTAACTGATTTTCCTTGAAGTTTAAAGTTTAAATGGGGTTTTAACAGGTATCCTGTACACAAATTACATATTGTTTGGAAAACACGTGTGCCTTTAGTTTTAACTCAACCTTAAGCTAAACTGAGGCAGCACAAGCTTGCACAGTAGATCTGCACATGAATCCTGCTCCTTCCTGTCTGTTGACCAAAAGAAGACAGGCTGACCTAAGAAGCTCCGCCCACTCTGACCCCATAATGAAACAGAAATGCATAAACAGGAGGCAGTTAAATGTAAAAACAACCCATGGAAATAAAGACTTGTGGAAAAAGCTTTAAGAGACACAGATTCAAGTACAAACAAAAACATATAGATTTTTGAAAGCAGTAAACTTTTAATAATGTGATAAAATATATACCATTTGGAACTAAGCTTGAAAAATAAATATGGTCAAATAAATTATAAACATGAGGTAAATTTCTCCTTTTTAAACTTAATTAGTGCATTTTAATTGTAATTATTTATTTATCCATTTATATATTTTTGCTTTTACATCTGTTTCGATCTTCCATGATCACAAGGGAACACAAATTTAAAAATATTCTCCCATGTCCCCTCTCAGGCTCAGTAATATATATATATATATATATATATATATATATGTATGTATAAACATTAGTAAAAACGTAAGATTTCCAGTAAAACAAAAGAGAACTTGTCAGAAAAGAGGGCAGGCTTATTCAGTCATGTCCATAAGAATTCAAAGAAGTTCCTAAAACTTAATTATGTGTTAAAAAATCATTTGTTGGAACTAAGCTCGAAAAATAAATATGGTCAATTAAACTATAAACGTGAGGTGAAGTTCTCCTTTTTAAATTTAATTAGTGCATTTTAATTGTATTTATTTAGATATTATTTATGTTTATTTATGTATTATTTATATATTGGTCAAACAGAAGAGGAATGTTCAGTTTCCCAAAGTGAAGCTAATGGACAGCAAATCAACAGATTCATGACTGGTCAGGGGTCCCGTTGGAGGTCACAGTCTCAGGACCTTTCAGAGGGGTCGTTTCACTGCTTTCATCAAGTTCTTCAGGAGTCTTGCTGGAGGTCTTGGTGTTAGACTCTGTGTTCAGACAGACCACCTCGCTCATTTCTCCATCATGTAGAGGTTCTTCAGTGGGATGTTGATCAGGAGGTCCAGCAACACAGGGTAGACAAGGTGCAACTTTCTCTGGATATTTATAGGCAAACACTGAAAGTGCTGTACCTCCCAATATTAATAACAACAGGAAAATAATCCCAACAAGCAGACCAWCATGACTCTGTTCTTCTGGCTTTTTGATGAAAGGATTCTCCAGAGGCTCACTGTTCTTCTCACTGATGGGATTCTTTATTTTGCAGCTGAATGTTTTGATCAGTCGTGTTTCCTCATYWYTGKTGATGWTCATGTCCTTCTGYAGCTCCTTCCATTGTCCTTCGTCCTGCTGCCAGAAGTACTGAACAGGTCCAACAACTGCCTGACAGCTCAGGGTACACTGAGGTGAGCTGAAGGTGCACGCCWCAGGTCTCASCWKGACTTCAACCTTCTTGTCACGTAAATGTGTGATCCCCCTGGCAGAATATTCAACAGGCTGGACTTTAGAGTTGATCTCCACAGAGAAGATTCCTTCATCGGCCTTTTTCATGGATCTGATGGTCAACTCTCCGGTGGTCGTATCCAGATCTGTTCGGCCTTTAAACTCTCTAAAATAACTCAGAGGAACAGTGTCTTTAATCCACTCAGCCACAACGTTTTCTTTATGTTTCCAGTTGATGGCGGTGATTCCTTCTCCAGGGACAGACTCGGGTTTAAGAGAAAGCTTACCGCCGATTTCAAAGTATTTATCCTCGGATAAAACAGCTTCCAGTCCTGCTGCCAGCAACAAAAACACGACCGATATCTTCATTTCCACAGATTAAAATTTAATCTACAGGATCCAGATTTCAATACCAGCAGACCCCAGTGAGTTTTCTTGCGGAGATCCACACCCTGGCAGAGAGATTTGATATGAACTCAGGGATAGTATGAAAATGAAAGCAGAATTTTTTTTTTTGTAAAGGGCAAAGAGCACACTGCACCTTGCTGAAAGAAACCCAGTCATGTGACACATATGCCACCATGTGGTCAAACCAATGGGGAGGAAAGATCTTGTTCAGCCATGGCTCCAATCACTCTGGTGGTGTAGCTATCTGTTTTAGCAAATGTCCTGGAAATATTGTTGCCTTTAAAGCTGACAATCTCCGTCATTGGATGGCAGTTGTGTTTAATATGAAAGGATATGGGCACGCTAATAGTAATCAAATTAGTTGTTATTGTTAAAGATAGCAGATGTTATTTCTGAATACAGGGAAAATTACAGTACAAACTTAATTGTGATAGGTGGTGATTTTAACATGACACCAGATGAATGGCTGGACAGACGTCCAACTATTCTCTACAGGAAATGTAAATCCTTTTTTATAGGAATTTATGAATTCCAATAATCTCATAGATGTATGGAGAATTATAAATCCCAGTACTTGTCAGTTCCCATGGATCAAACTAAATGGTAGTATAACATCAAGAATAGATTTATGGTTAACCACACCAGATGTAACCAGATACGTTTCAGAGGAGCTGACTACTGTATTATATCACTTAAAACCAACCAAGTGGAACAAATTTAAAAACGATTACTGGAAGCTTAGATTTATTTAAATTCTATAAAGCCTTTGAAATGGTTGAACACCCCTTCAGTTTAAAAGCATTGGAATATTTTGGTTTTGCAGAAAGATTTATAAAAATGATTCACTTTACACAGACATCATTAGTTCAATAACTTTGCCTTCTGGAACATCTAAACATTCTTACATAAAAAGAGGAATTTGTCAAGGTTGTCCTGCTTCACCTCTGCTGTTTATTATTGCAGCAGAACTGCTGGCAATTTTTGTAAAAAAACTTAGTCCAAGTATTGAACCTTTAAATGTTATGGGAAATTCACCGGTAATTACTTGACTTGCTGATGACATGGCACTCTTTTTTAAAAGATATAACACAGATTTCAGAGGTGTTGAGAGATATACAGAAGTTTTCTGAAGCCTCTCGTCTGTACCTGAATATGAAAAAATGTGAAATTATCACCATATACATGATCATCCTTTTGATGCTATTTAAAATATTCCAATTACAAATAAATTAAGTATTTAGGAATCATATATCTCAAAAAATAAAATAGTTAGAGAAACATCAAACTCAGAAAATAAAATTCAGAAAAACAGTTATTCTCAACAGTTAGCTCCAGAGAGATTTATCTATTTTTGGACATGTTCTCACTAAAATGGAAAGCCTGTCTCTGCTTATTTACTCAGCATACACTCACCAGCCACTTCATAAGGTACACCTTGCTAGTACTGGGTTGGACCCTCTTTTGCCTTCAGAACTGCCTCAATTCTTCATGGCATAGATTTAACAAGGTATTGGAACCATTCCTCAGAGAGTCTGGTCCATATTGACATGATGGCATCACACAGTTGCTACAGATTTGTCGGCTGCACATCCGTGATGTGAATCTCCTGTTCCACCATGTCCACCTAACCAAGTTTTAACATCTTATATCAGCCAAAAAGTCTTTTTGATCTTGTTTTGAGACTGATTTACTAAACAAGAACTGATTGTGTAAGA